TTGCAATGTTTGTGTGGATTACAGCACAACTCATGGAGTGTGTACAGAGTTGAACCGAACACCACTGGTTAATGGTCCCTTGGTCCCATGATAGTCCTAGAGGGTTCCTGTGTGAAAGAGGATAGATGGCTCATTGAGCAGTCAGAATCACCTACAGAATAAACTTACTCTCCTCTTCTTCCTCTCTCCTGAATGTGTGTCTTGGGACTTGACGGTTCTCTCTTAGACTTCTTATGGGAGGCCAGGAAGGATTTTCTTCTTTGTCTTTCCGACCCCGACTGCTCACAGATGGCACATAGCTTCTAAGTGAGCCTGAGGCTGAATCTCAAGGCTGCAACTGCCTCTCCTTCTTTGTGTCTTTTTTTCCCCACATACAGGTGACCAAACGATAAACCTGAGATGAGTTTCTCTAGCCTTGATGGGCAACTTTATGGATTTCAAATGGGGGAGCTGCTAGCTTTCTCTATCGCATGATAGCAAGAAGAGTTTCCTAAAATGACACTGTTCTGGAAGGGTGAGCCCAAGCTATCCCCTAAGATATGAGCCTTGAAAGAGTTGTTCAGGCAATGAAAAACTGAGGTGAAGGAGAGATGACTCTTTGAGCAATTCCATAAAGTATTTCCTGTTTTAATGTTTTAAACATCGACCTCGAATACAACAGGAGCCATGGTTTACTCTCTTGAGTCTTTGTCAATGAGTCTTTCATGTTTGAAACATTTCTTTTGTGTGGAAGAAATAAATAGCTGTCCTATACCTGATCAATCTTTATACTGAGCATCTTTCTAGAAGGGAGCCTGTTGATCCCTTGTGGGGAGATGCTAGACTTGAGCCAAACTTAAAATTTAAATGTTTTTCCCACTGGAGGGTTCCGGGAGCATAAAGAGATAAAGAGAGCAAGAAGAGCTTGACCTCTGTTTTTAGCGGTCAAGCTCATCCAGAACTGAACCTAGTCCAGAGCTTAGACCCCTAGTCTCTGGGCCCAGTGGGATCTGTTATTAATATAGTCAATGATTTAAAAACTTAGAGTACTATATAAATGTGTACTATGATGATGAATTCAATTCAATTTTGTTATTGATTAATGGTCAGGACTTAAATGAAGGGATCCGGCCTTGCCTATTAGATAATCAACCACAAACCTTTGAGTAAAAAGACAAAAATCAAACAGTCTCTGATCTCAAGGAACTTATATTCTGCCAGGAGAAATAACATCATATATATATATATATATAATGATAGATATATAGATATAGATATAGATATATAATGATTGATATATATATATATAATGATATATATATATATATAATGATAATAGCTAGCATTTATATATTACTTTAAGATTTGCAAAGCACTTTACAAATATTTCACCATTTGATCCTCACAAAAACATTGGGAGTTAGGTGCTGTTATTATTCTAATTTACCAGATAAGGAAACTGAAACAGATAGAGGTTAAATACTCTGCCAGGGTCACACAGCTAGTAAGCATCAGAGGCTGGATTTGAACTCGAGTATTCCTGACTTCAGGTCCAATGTTCTATCCACTGGGCCCATTCACTCTGTTATTGTCTATTGACTTCAGTTTCGAAAGATGACATTTCCTGACCTTAGGTTCAAATTCTAGTGATATTTGGAATCTCTAATCTCCTTTCATTGACTACAAACCATAGCTGGAAATAACATCAGAATCCCAAGACACCCAACGTAATCGTAACTCAAACCTGAACTCCTTGGTTTGGTTCCTATGTCATCTAAATGAATTTATTCATTTCTTTTCACCTTCTGGACTTTTCTTGGTGCTTTCTGATTGAAATGGAATGGGAAAAAAGGTTTATTGCATGCCATTAAAATAAATTTCAAAATACAGAACATTTTTTTTTCTCCAGAATTTCTCCCGGAAGCTTTGGGTCGGTTTCTACTGTGTTATTGGTTGAATATTTTCTTGCCAGGATAATCCACTTTTAGTAGCTTCATTTACATTAGATATCACCTTGGAGGGTTATAAAACTAGGCCCATGGATTACCCAAGAGAAATTACTCTTGAAAGTAATCATCGGGAGTGAATTTTCATCACTGATGCAGGTACTACTTCCTCATTCCATGCTGTTTTGTCTCTTTCTTCTTTGCCTGGGATAAAAGTTATGAGCAAAAGGATTTTTGTTATCATCTCAATTTCTAAAGAAATTTAGCCTTATTAATCATAGAAGCCATTTGTGAAAGGTAAGCCAAAGAATGCCCAAGATACCGGATGACTTTACAATATATTTCATGCTCTCTATCTTTATGTGTGTGTATGTGTGGGAAGACCCTGAATTTTCATTACATCTTAATAGAACTAGAAATGTTTTATGCAGCATTAATTTTTATTTCATCTCTCCATATTTCTGTGTTGATATTTAATTTTCATAATTATCTAAATGGCTTTCTAATATCATAATAGTAGGCTTTCTTTCCTTCTATAGTAATGGCAGCTCATTCATGCTTTCTTACCCTAGGCAAATCTCAACCATGTCCTCCCATGAGTTCACTAGAGTAGGTCCACCCAACATGTTGGGAGCCTTCCTTGCTCCCTTCTGTTATTTAAAGGCTCATGGCACTATAGAATCATAGATTCAGAACTAGAAGGCTACTCAGAAACATTTAGTCCAACCTCCTCATTTTACAGGTGAGGAAAATGAGACCAGGAGAGGTTAAATGACTTGCCCCCAAGTCATACAGGGAGTAGGAGAAAGAAGTAGGATTTGAATCTAGGTTTCTTGACTCTAGCCTGTGCTTCCCCCCAACCCCTACCCCTACTGTACCACAATGACTTCTATAGACACATATTGATGTAGATTGCAGATTGTCTGTTAGCTGTCTCATTCTTACCACCTGACAGCCCAGCCCAGCTTCTTTTTTGAGCATACCTTTTTTCTTAATGATGTCATTTATACCTCTTTTCCTTCATTTATATTACTTTAATGTTTTTCAGCCTGCTCACACCCACTGTATGCCTTTGCATTGACCTTGGGATGAATTTTAACCAATTCTTTGGATACTGTGGTGTTCCATGACTTAAGACCATATCAAAGGGAAAAATGTCTTGCTTTTCTTACAGACTTTTCTATACTCAAAATATTCAAGGTCAGCCTCTCACTTCCTAAATCAAGTTTCTATTCTCTGCTATCTCAGATTACTCTTGGGTATATGCTACTTCTGCAGAAACTTTCTATATTCATTGAAGGACTTTGATCTGCATTTTTTAAATATAAGTGAATATCTAACTCCTTTGTATTTTCAGCTTTCTTTACAAATCATATTATTTGACTTCAATCATGGGTTTTTTGCTTTTTTTTTCTTCCAGAAAGAGCCTAAGTACAACAAAAACACATTGATGTGGGCTCCGTTAATTTAGAAATCATTACTCGTCAGGGGTGGAGCAAAAATTTCATATGTTTTTCTATCAACAAAAGATTTGCTAAAAAGAATTAGTAATGTTAGTAAGATCCAAAGCCACAATGTTTCTCACCTGTTTAAAAATAAAATATATCCACATACCAACTGTCCCTTACCCTTGGAATGCATTCCCAACTCATCTCCACCTCACAGAATCCTTTCCTTTAAGCAACACCTCCTTCATGAAGTCCTTTCTAATATCCTCAACCAGTATGGCCCTCCTTTCCCAGAGAGCTGCTATTTAACTGGTCTGTACTGATCTAGGCAGTTGAGTAGTGCACTATATAGACTGTAGTACTTAAAGAACTCAGGAAGTCCTGGGTTGAAATTTGGCCTCAGATACCTACTAGCTGGGTGACTCTGGGCAAATCACTTAATCTCTTCCTGCCCCAGTTTCTTCACCTATAAAATGGGAATAATAATAATAATATCACCTACCTTCTAGAGTTCTTGTGAGGTTAATATTTCATAAAGTGCTCTGCAAACCTTAAAGTTCTGTATAAGTGCTGGTTATTTATTTTCATTATATTTAGATATTATCTCTATGTATGTATAAATGTACATATGTGTATATATGTGTGTGTATGTATTTGTGTGTGTGTGTGTGTGTGTGTGTGTGTGTGTGTGTGTGTGTAATCAAAGTACCATGAGGGAGAAATAGGATGTGCCAGGCTAGTTGAAACTAGTACCACCATCATTACCACCTTGACCACCATCTACCTTCAGATCCTAAGGGAGACAGTCGAGGACTCTAAACCCAAGAATCTTGAGAATACCAATGCTTCCAGCCCAGAGCCCTTAGCCGTCATCTTGGGAAACAAACACGGTGGAGATGCAACCTGGTGACTGCTCCTGTGGTGTTACAACCATAATTACTGAAGACCAAGGAAAGAAAGTTCTAATCATCCAAGTCCTTGGCACTGTCAGATGGTTCAACATCAGAAACTGATATAATTTTATTAGTGGAAATGACATGAGAGAGAGGCCTGACCATCTGCTTTGCCGTTACACCCTAAGGACTACGAGACCTGTCCATTTTTCTTGCAGCTGAAACTTTCTCTGTGTGTTGTCTCCTCCATTAGAATTTGAAATCCAAGGAATAGGGACTGTCTTTTTTTTCCTCTTTCTGTCCCCAGCATTAGCACAATGGTTTCCATATAGTAAGCGTTTAGTAAAGGCTTTATTTATTTATTTATTCATTCATTCCTATGAATATACTTAACAAATACAAGATGGGGAGGCATGATGACTACAGATTGTTAGAAAAAAGATCAAAGGCATACATGTGCTGTAGGTACATATGTTGACATGTATGTATAACATGTGTAGGTACATGTATGTACACATGTTGCACAAACCATATATGTATTGTCTCCTCATGAGAATGCAATACCTCACAAGTGGGGTGGGATGACAGATGCATTAGCAGTGAAGGAAAGGATAGATCGACTTCATTTTGTTTGGAACTACTCCCTTTCAAAACACAATGGTTAATGAGACTCTTCAATTTGATTGATGTGGTCTTGGCTATCTTCTAGTCTTTGCTTTGGGTGCCTACTTTCTTCACAAATGTTCTTTTGGTCCATTCTAGATTTTCAAAAAACTGTCAATAAGCTAGTGTAGCCAGACTGTGTGGAGGCAAATAGAGAGTTAGAATAACATAAAGGTAGGAAGGGGCCAGGTTTGAAACAGAGGACTTGATACTTAATTCTGAAGATAATAGAAGCCACAAGAATTCGTTGAGCAGGAGATTTACACAGTAAGTCTTATGCTTTTGGAAAATATCACCTTGGCAGCTGACGGATGGGAGTGGGGAAATCCTTGAGACAAGGAACCAAATAAGAAGACCACTCAAATGCACCAAATGAGAGGTGATGAAGGCCTGAATGGGAATTGTGGCTGTGTGAATGGAGGGGAGAGATGTGAAAATAGTAATGTCAGAATCTTATAATGGCTTGGATGTGTAGAATATGTAGAGGATATTTTGAGAGAGAGGGGAGCTAGGTGGTGCAGTAGATAGAGTGCTGGGCCTGGGCCAGGAAGACTCTTCTTTGTGAATTCAAATAGGGCCTTAGACATTTACTAGCTTTGTGACCTTGGGCAAGTCACTTAACCCTGTTTGCCTCCATTTCTTCATTTGTCAAATGTGCTGGAGAAGGAAATAGCAAATCACTCCAGTATCTTTGCCAAGAAAGATCCAAAGGGTGTCATGAAGAGTTGGACATGACTTAAATGACTGAAGAACAACCACAAAAGGATCATCTTAAGTATGTCACTTAACTGTGTTGGCCTCAGTTTCCTCATCTGTCAAATGGGCTGGAGAAGGAAATGGCAAACCACTCCAGTATCTTTGCCAGGAAAATCCCAAATGGGGCCACGAAGAGTCAAACATGACTGAACAACAGGTGGACAATATTTAGGGTGAGAATGTGATGAGTAGAATATACCTCCTGTTTAGTCTGATGGGAAATCTGTCACCCTCATTTTGGAATGTAGTCATAGCTTTGGGATAAAGTTTTAGACAATTTCTGCTGAGCTAAGCATAAAGGATAGATTTATGGCTTTTGTTCATTCATTCGTTCATTTCATTTATTTGTTTACTTATTTATTCACTAACTCATTTATTCACTGGCCTATTTGTTTATTCATTGGATACTTAATGTTTATTGATTGATTAATTGATCATTTGTTTATTAGCCAGGCCTGAAATTTCATGATTGGCACTTTTTCTGAAATATATAATCTTAGAACGTTACCTGTGAGTACTAAGAGGTTAAGTGACTTGCCCAGGCTCGCACAGTGAGTATGTGTCAAAGAGCAGTTGTGAATGAAGTTTATCATAACTTCAAAGCTGGCCTTCTATCTATCCTCTTGGTCAGGGTTAATTTGCAATTGGTAAATATTATCTCGGGCAGAAGTTTTTAACTTTTCTGTGTCATGGGCCCCTTTGACAGGTAGGTGAAACCTATGAATCCCTTCTCAGAATAAGATTTTTCAACATAAAATTAAATATAGAGAACTACAAAGGAAGCCTGTTATATTGGAGGAAAAGATATCTTTCCCATCTAAGTTCATAGATGCCTTGAAATCTGTACACATGATGGACTCAGATTCAGAACACCAGAGTTAGGGGAAGGATGGAACAGCCAAAAGAAACTTTTCTCATTGAAGGAATATTATAAATAGTAATTAAGTGAAATGGGAAGAACACCATTGCTATTCTACTTCATCTACATTCTGGGTTTAATGGAGTGTTGCCTGGCAACCCAACCACCAATTAGAACACTATTTCTATGGGAAAAATTTGTGGGCTGTTAAATGTTTTGATGTTGCTACAAGATCTTACAAGATCAAAATTTCTTCATGTAAGAAAAAGCATCTATGAAACTCGTTCACTATAACTAAGAGAAGGTTCCCCTTGCAAAGAGATGGATGTATGAATTTGGGAGAAAATATGTTCATCTCCACATCTAAACAAAAAAAGGGGGAAATTTCACCAAATGTTGACGAATGCACAGCTAGTTTCTACGGTTTGCTGAAACCCTCAATATGTTTTGATACAGTATCTGTGTTGATTTCCTTTGTGAGGTTTCATTAACTTGCTGATAAACAGCTCTGTGACAAGGCACCAGAGAGAGATAACAACTTCTTGTTTATCTTTTTATTTTTTTCTAGAACAGGCAAATGATGTTTTGAAAAGTCTGTGTTCATAAGATAAACAAGCATTGTATAGCTGTAGAATCAAGTACCACATATATGTGTATATGTAGAATAATATGTTATGATTCATTATAATATTGCATGTTCATTGTAATATGTAGTTATTATATAATTTACTACCATATAGGGCATTTTATAATATGCATATTATATTACAATATAATATTCATGTTATAGGAAACATGTGTATATTATATTGTTATAGTATGTGATACTACATAATATATTATACATATATACTATATATTGTAATATAGTATATATTACATAGTATATAATATACTGCATATGTAAATATATACAATAACAGTTTGTAGCATATATTACATAATTTATAATATACTGTGTAACATACAGTATTATATAATATGGTATATATTATTATAGGGTATATATAAATAATGTATGTAAATAGTATACTTATAGTATGTTGTATAGATACCATATTTATAGTAATAGTATAACGTTGTTGTTCGGTTGTTTCATTTGTGTCTGACTCTTTGTGACTCCATTTGGGGTTTTCTTAGCAAAGATCCTGGAGTGGTTTGCTATTTCCTTCTCCAACTCATTTTACAGATGAGGAAACTGAGGCAAACAGGGTTAAGTGAGTTGCCCAGGGTCACACAGTTGGTGTCTGAGTCCAGATTTGAACTCAAGAAGATGAGTCTTCCTGACTTCAGGACCAGTACTCTATACACTATGCCACCTAGCTGCCCTATATAATATATACTATGTTATATTTTCTATATAATCCCTAAGATAATAATTGTGCTTTTTAAGATTGGTGAAATGCTTTACTTCTGTGATCTCATTTGGTTCCCCCTCTAACCTTCTGAGTAGGTGCTACTATTATTATCACTTTATATATGAGAAAATTGAATCTCAATGAGGTTAAATGATTCACCCAGAATCACACAGCTAGTAACTGCCACCACATTTGAACCCTGGTTTTCCTTGCCTCCTAATACAAACCTCCCTGTCCTTTTTAGAGTTTGACAAATATTTTATCTACATGATCTCATGTGGCCCCTAAGAGAACCCAGTGAGGTGGGTACGGCAGGTATTACTATCTCCATTTTACAGATCACAGAAACATCCCACTTATGAATGACTCATGCACGTGATAGGTGGAGTTGCCTTCATCTTTTCCCCAGAGCTGGGAGAATTAGGTAAGATAAGTGGGCACCTAGGGTACAACACAAGGTTGTGCTAGGGGTATAGAGGATAATGGATGCAATGAGAGACATGTATTCATATCATTTTTATTAATGCATATGAAAGGTACCATGGCATGGGGACTAGAGAGTCTCCCTTCACAGTCAGGAAGACCTGAGTTCAAATTTACTCCCTACCATTTACCAGCTCTGTGACCCCTGGTAAAACACTCAACCTCTCAGGACCCTAGGCAGCCCACCAAGGCTCTAAGTTGCAGAGAAGGTGCCACCCTATATTGGTAGAAGACCAGGAGTTTCTTATGCTGATTAAATCACAGGTCCAATTTTTTTAAAGGACATATTTTTAACACCAGAAAATCTTATTTTCCAATGCATAGAGATATTTATTTTTGTGGTGATTCCATATTGCATTGAAGACACAAACCTTACCTTAAAGCAATGTGATAAGAGCCTAATTTTCTTTTTTAAAAAATTCTGACTTAAATGCTCCCAAACCATTTCCATGTGCACACCAGAATACAAAAAGAGGAATGTATATGAAACTGTGAATCATTTTCTATTGCTTGGGGAGCACAATTTTCAAACCACACTCTGGCTCTACTTATTTTTCACCTTCTGTATGTCCCTGTCTTCTTCATCACTTATCCATTTTCATTCAAAAGGGGAAGATGAAAGAACAAAAACGGTCACCCCCATGGGGGTACAAAGACACCCCCATCGCAGGCTGGAGTCTTGCCATCTGCCCTGACGCTGTGTTTCTTTGTACTTCCAAGGGCCTTGCCAGCTGTCCTGCACTTGCCCCATTTTAAATGTTTTATTTCCACGATTAGAATGTAAACTCCCTAAGGGCAAGGACTATCTTATTTTTATATTTATTTCCTCAGTGCTTAGTATAGGGCCTGGTCCAAAGTAAGCACTTAGTAAATGATTTTTTACCCCTTCATTCACCCCTATTATGGAATAAATAATAGTTACTTTCTCCTAATTGATATAGTTACTTTCTCTTACATGTATTATCATTACTCCACTGTTGCTTATATAACCGTTTCAAATTTTGAAAGCATATCTCTCATATATACATATATATACATATATATGTGTATATATGTAGATATACATGCTCACACATAAATACACACATAAAATGTATATGCATGTATATATAATACATATATAACATGCACATGTGTGCGTATAGGCAATATATGCACGCATATGCACGTGCACACACATACACATACATATACATAGTCACACATATATACATGTATGCGTGCATGCACGCATACATGCATACATACATACATACATACACACATACATACATACATACATACATACATGCATGCATGCATGCATGCATACAATTTGATCTTCATAGCAACCTGACAGCAGGTAGGTGCTACAGATCAACTTACTCCCATTTTGCAAATGAGGAAACTGAGTCTGACCCTGTTATGTTAAGTTGCCATGTGCATCAGAATTCAGAGAAACTTCTTTCTCATGGTGCCAGAATCAGGGGAGATGTATTTCTGGAATCCTGAGTCAGATTCAAAGGGCATTTCCTCCGTTGAAGCGGCATCATGTATTGGTGGTTAGATGGAATGGGAACAGTACATTCTAGGTTTAATGGAGTGTTGTCCGCCAAACTCACCGCCAATTCTGATGCCATTTCTATGGGGGAATTTGTGTTAATTTCTGAAACAGGTTTGCCAATGAACTCTGGAACAATTGCTGTTGTTCAATTGTTCAGTCATGTTCCACTCTTCATGACCCCATGGACCACAGCATGCCAGGCTGCCCACTACTATCTCTTGAAATCTATCCACGCTCACTGTCCATGGGGTTTTCTTGGCAGAGACAC